TTTGAAGTTTAGGCAGTGTTTGGCCTTGATAGTAGGTTTGTTTTGGACTTACAGGTTTGTTGTGTAGTTGGACAGGTTTGTGAGTTTTTTGGTTGCTCAGTGTTTGTTTGAACAAGCTGATGCAGTTTGAGCAGATTTGTGAGTTTTTTGAGTAAGCTTTGAACTTGTTGGGGTTTTTTTGATTTGGAAGCAGACTGGCTTCTGGACTTACAGGTTTGCCATCTGTTGAGTTTTGGGAAGGCAAGCTTGAGTTGTTTTTGGTTGCTCCTGGTATGCAGGTTCAGTTGGAGGCAGTTTGTAGGTTTTTGTGTTTGGTAAGGCATGCTATATGTTTCTTAAGCTTGCTTGACAAGCTTCTGAGTTTGGAGGTTTTAGTGTTTGGTAAGGCAGACTATAGGTTTTGGGCTTGCTTCTTTGAAGGCAGGCTTGTGTGATTTGTTGTTTGTTGGTTTAAGCAGGTTGGTGTTTTTGTGGGCTGTCTTGAACTGAGCTGATGAGTTTTGGTGAGCTTGTTGCTTTTGTAGTTTTGAAGACTGCAGGTTTTTAGTTTACAAACAGATTTTGCAGTTTTTTGCTCTTTCTCTTCCTCCTGCTGGACTGTTTACAGTCTTGTTCTTTTATATCTTTTGTTCTCTTACTGCCTTTTACAGCCTGCCAAAACTGCAAAACCTTTTTCTGGATCTCTCTTTCTCTCTCCATAAAAGCATTTTTAAATTGCTTATTATATCTTTTCTGAAAAGTTTGTTGGCCAGAACATGATGAGAGCTAGGACAAGCTCTTGCTTGTAACTTGGTTCATCTCTGCATTGTTGTACTTGTTTCCATATTTCCTGCATTGTGCTTTCTTGAACAGCTTTGTGTACTTTGACAGCTTTGTGTACTTTGACAGCTTTGCAACTTGGTTTGACATTTTTGCAACTTAGTTTGATTTTGTGTGCAACCTTGTGCCTTTGGTTGACTAATGCAGTTTGTTGTTCAGTTTGCTTTGCCTTGCTGCCTTATATCTTTGCATTTTGAAATAACTTGTATGCTTGCAATATTTATTTTTCTCTCTGTGAACCGAGAAGAGAAATCTTCTTGTGATTTGGGGAGAGGAAAATGAAACATGATGAGTATAGCATTTCTGATTCCGGCCAACAAGCTTTAATGATGATTTATTTATCTGCTTGAAAATTCTTATACTAACTTCTTTTTTTGTCTTTTGCAGGTAAGTACCAGTTGGATAATGGAGGACGCAGTAAAGATCAAAGATTTCAAGAGATTTAGGCTTTAGATTTATTTTCTTTTCATTTATTGTAAAAAATATTATTGTAAACACTGTAAATTATAAATTTACAATATTCGAATAAAATTTGTAACAATATTTGAAATAAATAAATAAAAAGTCTTTGTCAAATAAGAATTTTCTACTGTCAAATATTCCAATCTTTCCTTGTACTGTCTATTTAATTATTTAAGTCTCTTAAATTAAAATAACTGGAAATGTATCCCAATGACTTTAATCCAGATGAAATAAATAATCAACAAACTTTGCAGTCTTGTAATCTCGCATTAATCACAATATACCTGGCATTCCAATTAATCATATGCTTTGTACAGTTAAACAAACAAGCATTCCACACACCTCTCACTCCACTGATCAAATCAAAGCCTCAAAGTTTCAATCAAAAGCCTCAGCTCCTATCCCATATATTTAGGTTTTGAGAAACAACCAGTAATCTTGAACAAGCAAAGAAATAATGTAATCAGTCAATTGAAATACTGTGGATTCAATTTCTTCTGAGAAATGCGAGCGCAAACCCTAATCCTGGATTACTGTCAAAGAAAAGTCTGCTTGATCAATTCCTGAGCCAATCTCAAAAAAATTAGTGGAAACCCTAATTCTGGATTTACTGATAAAGAAAAGCCTATTTGACCGATTCTTGAGCCAATCTTGAAAAGTCAGGGAAGACCCTGAAGTTGTGATTTCTTAAAAAATGGGAGGGTAAATTTTGGGGTACAACAGTGGGCATTTTGGGAATTTTGTGGAGCTGGTCCCTACTACTTATCTGGATTCAAGGTCTCATCTTAACCATATTCCAAAGAGAGTGGCCTTAGATGACTGTATTATACTAGAGACACAATATTCTCTGGTTGAAGGACAAACGATATACTCTTCTTTTGGACTTGCCTTTGAGTTTTAGGCCAAAGACCTCTCCACTCCTCATATGGACTCAGGTATTGCCAATCATATAATTTCTATTGGTTTTTATATACAAGATAGTACTCCCTATCCTATTGGTAACAAGGGTTTAAGTTTACACGGGCTTAACTTGTCCATTTGTCTGGATGGTGCTTCTTTTCCTTATCTTGCTTGTCACTGTAGCTCTTTCCTTATATTATATGAGTTTTTAAACATGTTAGATAGTAAGAAAGAAACAAGGGTCTTTAGAGAAGCCAAAAAATTAGGTTTAACCTTTATCATTAGTGACTAGATTAATATTAATAGATTATTGGGTCTTTAATCTAGAGACATGCAATGAAGGTCTACTAGACTTTCTAAGAGTTGTGCTAGATGTTGATTGGGTATTTTAATGTTTGTGGTTTGGAAAGTAAGATAAAAAAGAGCAAGGTTAGAGATATCAATATCTCTAAGTTTCTTGAGTTCCTTGCAATTCAGGAGACTAAGCTCTTTGAGGTCTCTACCTCTTTGGTCCATTCCCTCTGGGGGAATTCTTTTTGTGATTTGATTTTCTCTCTATCTATTAGTAATAATGGTGGTCTCCTGTCTATTTGGTGTAACTCGAAAGGGTCTTGAATGTTTTCCTTTGTGGGTTCTAGTTATATTGGAGTTTGTTTGGAGTGGGGGATCTCCAAGATTTAGTTTGAGGTGGTTAATATTTACTCTAAGTTCAGCCCTAGTGAGAAAAGGGCTTTTCGAAGGGACTTACGTCTTAGGAAGGCTTCCATTGGGAATGTGTGGTGTGTTCTTGGTGACTTTAATTATGTTTTCTCTCCCTGTAAGAGGGTTAGAGGTGACTCTTTTGAGTATCGGGTTAGGAATTCTCTCTGTGTTGAGTTTTGTAATTTCATTTCTCAGATGGAGCTCTGGGACCTTCCCCTTCTAGGTAAGAGCTTCACTTGGTCCAAACCTAAGGGTAGGATTTCTAGCCATTTTGATAAGATTCTTATCTCTAATTATTCGTGGGAGTTATGGGGGACTACTTCTCAGTAAGCTCTCCCTAGAGATGTTTCTTATCACTATCTGACCTCTCTCAAATATTCTAATCATTTGTGGGGGCCAAAACCTTTTCGGTTTAATAATCAAAGGCTCAATCATCCTCAATTACCTTAGGTGGTCCTTGATAGTTGGCGTGGTTCCTTATCCTCTGGGTGGAAAGCCTTTTTCTTAAACTAGAAACTAAAAGCCCTCAAAGGGGTCTTGAAAGTTTGGAACCATCATGTGTTTGACAGTCTTGATGCCCAGATCGAGTCTCTTAGGGAGGTTGTGTGCACTCTTGATCTGAGAGTTGAGCAAGGTGTTATCTTTATTGATATGGAGACTAGGAACAAAGATTCTTTAGACCTTTCGTCCCTCCTCCAAACCAAGGATTCTCATTTGTTCCATAGATTCAAATCCAGGTGGCTCAAGAAGGGAGATCCCAATGCAGGTTTTTCCATGCTTGTATTAAGAGTAAGAGCAGAATGAATGCTATTTATTGATGAAAAATGTGATGAGCTCCCCAAAGATGGTCGGGAGAAGCCACAGTGTGTTCTGAGGTGTATTATATTTGGTATTACTTGCTTCTTCCTTGCCTTTCAGCCCATTCTTATAGTGCAAGGCTCAGACTAGAATGATCTTAGTTGTTATGGTGTTTTGTCGTGATTTACTGCTCCTATCCTCTTTCCGAGAAGAGGTAATGATGGACTATTATTCTCATGTTAGGTTGTCTCCTGGTTTTATTGGTGAGGCCTCTTTAATAGTCGTTCCCTTGTGAGGGCGAGATCTCCTTTAAGAGGCGGGACATACTCTCGGCCATCCGAGACATAGGTCTCGAATGTACATAAGTCCCTCAAGTGTGTGGCCTCTTAAGGGCGGAGCGATTTGATCAAATTTGGAACATGGGCCTTGGATATACATAAGTTGCTCAAGCGCGAGGCCTGTTAAGGGTGGAGCAATTTGGTCGAATCTGAGACATGGGCCTTAGATGTACATAAGTTCGTCAAGCGTGAGGCCTATTAACAGCGTAGCAATTTAGTCGAATCCGAGACATGGGTCTCAGATGTACATATTTATCGGTAAGGCCTCTTTGATAACCATTCCCTTATGAGGGTGAGAGCTCCTTTAAGAGGCGGAACATGCTCCCGGCCATCCGGGACATAGGTGTCGGATGTACATAAGTGCCCCAAGTATGAGGACTATTAAGGGTGAAGCAATTTAGTAAAATCTAGGTCATGGGTCTCGGATGTATATAAGTCCCTCAAGCGTAAGGCCTGTTAAGGGCGAAGATATTTTGTCAAATCTGGGACATGGGCCTCAGATGTACATAAGTCCCTCAAGCGCGAGACCTGTTAAGGGAGAAGCGATTTATTGAACAATCTGTAGAGCTATCAGTCATGGACTGTTTTAGTCGAAGGTATGCCATGACCTGCTCCTTTGTCTTCTCTTTCTGCCACGTGTATTACAGAGTGTGGGGATGTTCCTGCTCTGACCGTTTTCTTGTCACCATTATTATTTTACTATGGGAAGCGTATCAATTTGGTTTTAATGATGATTCTTTTTAGGGAAAGCGCATGTTATCATTAAGTCCTACTTACTAGGGACTATTCATGTAACTATAGATTTTCAACATTTTTTTTTAAATAAGTCAGTTCTTCATCCCTCAAGCTTTTCCAAGTTTTTATTCTAAGTTATTGCCATTGTTGTGTTGCTACTCCAAGTTTCCTCGCTCTCTCGGGTAATTTTCATTGAACCGTTATTTTCGATTTCATTTGTGTTTTCTTTTCTTGATAATTTTTGTGATGGTTTTCATTCGCGAGTGCCACGCTTCGGGTAGAGTAATTTCCCCTGCAACTATGCTAGAGCGACGTCATATTTGGGATGAGTATGTTAACATGTTTAGGTGCAAGTTTGGGAAAACCGATTGGGGTTTTATAAATGGGGAAGTGTATGGTGATTTTGTTAACCTCACGCTTCTTAGTGACACTGACTCAGTGTCTTCTTCCTCGGGTTCATACGAGGTAATCATGGAAGTTTATCGCAAAATCTTTAATCAAGCCGTCCTGAAGATCGATTCCATTTGCTTGAGTGGAGATTATGTTGACTCTTTCAGGGAGATGGTATATATCTCTCGTACTGATGATGAGAATGATATTATTGTGGAGCCTTGTGTTCGAGGTCATAAGATTTGTATGTATCGCTGGGTGGGGTCACGTGATGAGTACTTTTATTTCTATGAGGATATGATGGAAACACTCAAGTTTGATATTCCATTTACGAATTTTGAGGCGGAGGTTTTATTCATTCTGAATGCCGCTCCTTCGCAACTCTAACCCAATATTTGGGGCTTTATCTGGTCATTTGAGATTGTGTGTAATTCCCTTGGCATGCCACCTTCTATTGGCATGTTTTTTCATTTTATGAGTCCAAGGGTGATGGTAGTGTAGGGTGGGTTTTGCTGGAGGGGCTTCCGGGTTGCGGTCTGTTTCAACCCTATTCCTCAAATTTTAAGAATTATAAGGATAAGTTAATGCAGGTATGAGGTGGAGAACACTGTCCTTTGATGTTGTATAATGAAGATGGGTCGTATTAGTTTCCAATATGCTGGACCCAAGAGCCTGTTTCAATCGGGGGCTACGAACCTAGTAAGTTGGATATGTTTGAGAAATTGGTGGTGGAGACCTTTGATGCTTTCATGGTTTTTCCGATTCATGAAATTTTAGGTTATGAAGATGATCCTTTGAGTTTGCGGAGTTTTTTAGGTAATTAGAGTCTCGTTCTTTTCTTTTTCTTTATTTACACTATATCGTTTAATCGAATTTTCTATTTTTTTTATTTTTTGCAGACAAAATGGCGGAATTTGATCTTAAGGAGATGATGTCTTTGTTGGCGAAGGCTAAAGCTCCACGTGGCTTATGGGGTAGAGACGGTAAGAGTGTTCTGTATGGGATCATTGTCCGTTCCTAGAAGAAGAAAAATACTGGTGTTGATGAAGTGTTTTCCCAAGAAGGACCTATTTTGGCCGATCCTCCATCCCGCCATCCTCCTTTGAAGAAGAAGAAGGTTGAACATTGGAAAGCGAATGAGGGGTCTTCAAGGTTGAGTGAAGATGACAAGCTCGAAATTTTTCTAGGTGGGTCTTCTGCGGGCGTGGCAGTGAGAGGCCCCCCACCTTGGTCTTTCAACTTTTGGGATTCCTCCTTTGACAATTTCCACTTTATGTATGATTTTCTTGGTTTCGATGGAAACATTGAGAAAGTTAAAGTCGTGGGTGCTTAAAAGTTGACCCAAAATATTGGTACGCATTTGTTGAAGGCCATAGTGCTTTGCCGAGCTCTGTTTGAGGTGTCTGATTCTTTTGAGAAGAACGAGGTGGAGTTGAGGAAAAAGTTGTTGGATGTGAAAGAGTCCTAAGGTCTAAAGGATGCAATGGTGGGGTCTGAAAATGGGAGGATGCTTTCCATGGAGAATGAGTTTCAAGAGCTTAAGGATTCCAAAAAGTTGATGGACACTGAGTTAGGGGTCGCCTGTGGAGAGGTGTCAGCTCTAAAGAGACAGCTTGCTGAGAAAGACAGGGAGAAAGACGAGCGGAATGGAAAGCTAGACCCCGCTGTGATGGATAGCCTTTTGGATGGTGACCAAGGTTTTGAAAAGGCCAAACAAAAAGAACTCTTTCTTTATTCCGAAGCTTATTTGTATGTGCTTAGGTATTTTAAAAATGTCTGGGACGGACAACTGGTGATGGAAGAGGAGTTGGCGGTTACCCCCGAGCTGGAGAATATGGAGGGTATCCCGCCGCCTGTGGTTGGAGAGGATGGTGAACCACGTGGTTGATAAGTGCTAAATTATTGATATTTTGAGTGTGAAATAATTATCACTCATCGACTTAATTTATTTGTTTTTATTTAATAATCCCCAGTTTTGTGTATAATTTACGTATTAGTTTAAATATTGCGTTATTATGTAAATATCATTGAGTTTGATTGTTTTTATCTCATTTTTATGGGTATTTGTTGTTGTGGTATAGCGGCAAGCAAATGGTGCCATCGTCGGGGATGGTTCTATTGTTTTTGTATTACGATAATTATTTTGTTTTTGAGTTTTGTATAATGTATATGTTGTATAGAAATTGTACATTAACTTGTATATGATATTTGTGCATATATGTGTTTTTCTTTGTTTTCACGTATTATTGTGAATTGTATTGTTTTTGTAATGTTTGTTGTGTGGATGTTAGGACACTTTCTTTAGGTTTGTGCGATGTGACAATACTATGGCATGACGAGAGGAGGTTACTAGCTCGCACAATAAAGGCGTCGAGCTTACGACGTAAAACAAGCATATTGTATTGTTTTTTATTTGTATTCGTTTATGTATGTGTTGACTTGTGTTTTAACAAATTGAACTCATATTAGTTTTTGAATTTCAAATTTTCACTTTTCAACTTGTTAATACACTTTCAAATCATTTGTTTTGTTATGTAGATTTGTGTTTTTTCGCAAGCTTGTCGTGTTTAGCTTGAGAAAGTTTGTATGCTGTAAATATTATGTGCATTAAGGTTGTGCAGGTGATTATGGAGCTGTATAGCAGCCACACCAGTTATTATCCTATTTTTCTGCAACTGGTGTAGCGCGCTAAGCGCGCTCCAGGCTGCTTAGCGCGCTTTGATGTGCAGAACCAGTGAACTCTTTTTAATTTTTTGCTTGGTTTTCCTTTTTCCCACTTCCACCTAGGACTTGTAATAGTAAATGATATTAATATTTTTAATTCTTTTTTTTGTTGTTTGGACTCAATTTGGTTCGATAGCTTGAAGTCGCATTTGCTGATTTTCCAATTTTGAGTGTGTCAACTTGCGAATGCGTGGTAATGATATTGTTAAAATTTTGTACATGTTCGAGGTATATGTTTATCACTTTCTATACTTTAGAATATTCATAATACTTATACTTTTTACAATTTTTATGCCATCCATTCTTTTGTATACTTATTCATTTGTGAATCACTTTAGTTCCTACCCTTTTTGTGAGGTAGCTTCCCATTGTTCACATATGCTGGAGACCATAATTCTTGTTTTAACTGGATCTTATTATGTTTAATCTTTTGTTTGTGTTGATCGTATGAAAGCTTAAACATGATCAAGATATTTTTGGTTCCATTTTGAGCATAACTACATTGGCCAAATAGTCAATTCACCTCGTGAGTGTTTCGAGTTTTTTGTCGATATCCATGTTGTTTTTGCTAAATGCTTGACTATGAGTGTTTAGTTTCCATTTTTGCATGGATGTTGATTATTTGTTTTCTTGAACCCTCAACCATTGTTTTGGTTTGAATGTTTACCTTGCCTTAGAAAGTAGGGAGTATTCACTTTAATGTATGTTTGAATTCAAGTTAGAGAGAAAACTGATTGTGTATTTATTGGTTGATTGCTATTAGGCTGAGAAAAAGAAAGAAAAAGAAGGAAAAAAAGAGAGAAAAAAGTGAAAAAGAAGTGAAAAGAAAAAGAAAGAAAAAAATGAAAAAAAAGCTTTGAAAAAGAAAAACAAAAAGGTTTGGAATAATATTGTGTTAATAAGTGATGTGTGTTGGTTTTAAATTTGGAATGAAGAAGAAGTTTGATTGAAATTATTATGCTTGAGACTTTGTGAGTTGATCACTCCCTTAGGTTTAGGAAAAATTTTGTTTCGATTAGCTTTAGGATTTATCCCTTGTTTGTTAACCAAGCCACATTGCATCCTTGAAAAATCCTTGAGATTCTTGCATTTGTATTTTAAATATGTGTTTTTGGATGAATGCATAATTTAGTCTTTTATTTGCAAGATTGTGGATGAGTGAAAATACCTTACTTTGTGTGTTTTTCATCTACCGATGGTTATTTTTGCTAGGTGTGATTCATTTGTGAACTACTGTTGTTTTAGAATGTTTAACATGTTCTTTGTATTTAGCATTCATTTCGTGTTTATGTTATCGTCGTAGTTTAGTGGTATGTATGTTTCATCATGTGTACCATTTTTCATTTGAACCATTGCATTTGTTTTCCATTTTCAAAACTTGTTGATTCATGATATTTTGGTTGATTACTTTTGATTCTTTGAGTTGTTTGGCTTTGTTTTATGGCAAACAAGTTGAAGTTGGAGAGAGTTTGATAAGTGCAAATTGAAGTTATTTTTGTATATGCTTTTTGTTGCACTTATCGACTTTTTGTTGTAAATATCTTTGAATAAACCCGACTTTTGTGTAAATACGTTTAGTTTGTGTTTATTAGTGTTTTTGTGTATATAGTGTATCGTTTGATGTTTTTCCTTTTATTTTGTAGGTATGTGTTGCGTATTTGGAGCATGAGCAATAAAGTGTCGAAGTCACAGCTTCAAACACGCGATTTTGAGCAACTCATCAATGAATAAGGCTCAAAATAAAAGAATAAGAAATCATCAATTTGGTTGATATTTAGGCATTGTTAGATAGATAATTGAATAAACTTTCAAACGCTTCAAATCGGGCGTAAATCAGAGTTACGGTTCTCAAGTTATGGCAAAAACAAAATGCTGATTTCTTTCTCATGACAGTAGAGCGCGCTTAGCGAGATTATGCCGCTTAGGGCGGCCCCCTGGACATAATTACGTTAAAAGAGGCAAAAAACACATTTTTAGGTTATGTTTTGGGGTATTTGTTCCCAACTCATCAAACCTTCATTTTTTGATAGAGAGAGCTTAGAAAATAACTTAGAAGCTTGCATACGGATGATCCGAGGTAGATTGACCATCAACCGGTGCTGACAAATTGGGAGATTTTTGGTTCATTTCTCTTCCTCTTTGTGTATTTCTCTTTGGTTGGATTTTGTATATGATTTTACTTTGAACTCGTGTATATTAGTTTCTCATGGCATTATATTTAATTTGATTTACAAATCAGTGTCGATTGTTATCTTAGATTTTTGCTCTGTGCTTGGGGTTTGGGTTGTAATAGATATATACTGCTCAAATCTTTATCTAGGATGATTATCTGTTAGATTCTCGATTCTAGAGATAGATTTAGAGCTAACAATATTTATGGGTGTCGAAGCTTAATGCTTCCATGTTGGTTGTGTGGGTTGAGAAATCATCGATACGAGTAATATGGATGTCTGCTGTGTTGTTGAGATTGGCTGAGAGATCGTCACTGAGATGATATAGTAGTTATCTGTACTTTGGGTTTGAAATAACTTAGGGAGTGAGCGATGCTAGATGACTCTGAGGAGTATTGTAGATTGAGTGTAACTGGTCGATAAGTTTAAGTTTGTGAGAAGCAGATTATATGCATGGTTGTTGCTGCAGTATAACGACAAGCAAAAAGTAAGCTATTAATTTACCGGGTGATATTTAGGTTATATCGTATCGTGTGCATAGAGATTGGTGAATTGAAATGTCGCTCGACAAATTTTTCGTTAATGAGTTTGGATTGAATTGGTAAAACATAAAAACATAAAAGTAAATATGAACATGAAAGAATTTATTCTTGTGATCGGTGGATCTGGAACTGACTGTTTAAAAGCTGGTTCGCGAAATGTCGCGGAAGCAAGAGTCGCCACCGTCTTTTATTTTCTCCAAATGGAAAGGACAAAAGCACAGAAAAATTCCTTAAAAGAGATTGCTCTCGGTTCGGGAGGTAGGTTATAGAAAGGGAAGGTGTTAGCACCCTTTCTATCCATGGTTATCCATGGGCTCTTAGATACTTGCTCAATGTGTTTTCAAAATGTTTGCTTGCTTTTCAATGTGGGTTTCAAAAATATTCTTTGAAAAGTTTCAGTTCAACTCGTACGTCAGAGTGTTTGAAAAGTTTGTTTTGAAAGTTTTTGAAAGTGTGTTGGTGTGAAAAGTATTTTAATTTGTTTGAAATTAGAGCAAGTATCCTTGAGAACCTACCTACCCTAAGGAATTCGTCTGTGTAAATGTCCTTTAAAGTAGTGCCATCCCACCATTGAGAGGTAGGTAGCACCACTGTTGGAGGTGTTCGGGTCAATTCGAGTTTTAGGGACATGGTGATCACCGGAGCAATGGGAAGACACCTTAGAAGCTACCCTCATGCCAGGTTCCCGGATCATGAGGACTTACTAAGACGTCTTCTACTCGACGACCACCGTTCGAAAGGCAACAGTGAGGCGTACCCTAGGGGTGGTGTGTGCGAATTGTGTGTCATGTTTCAATTATTTGTCTTGTCATGTTTGTTGTGTTCTACGCTTGATTTTAATTAGGGCCATTCATTCTTGCATGCATATTTAACAGTTATAAAGTTTGCGAAAAATA